GAGAAGAGAAGAGAAGAGAAGAGAAGAGAAGAGAAGAGAAGAGAAGAGAAGAGAAGGATTACCACATGCTCTTGCAAGTATTCAAGTCTCATCGACGACATTTTGCTCTGAATGGTGTTAAATGTGTTAAATAAAATCTGGGATGCTAAGCGTCTTACGAGGAAAATGTCGCGTGGGAGTTTTAAGAATGTATGATTGTCGAAAGCTTTGTTTTCTTTGTCCCGCGCATTTAACATAGATGTCGGCCGTGCGGCCAGCTTGAAGCACCACCGTACAAAGCGTGCCGCCTCACAGACGAGATGGTGTCTTGTACTTCTTCATATACTTTGAGTACGTCATAAACTACATCGCCACCTAGTCGGCCAGTAACACGCAAATTGGTATTTGTATCAGTGAAAAAAGAATTGGTCAGATTGTTCTCGCTTTACGCGAAAGAAGGTCATTGTTGGTCCCCCTTCTTGCAGAATAAACCAGGCACTTTGTTATCCAATGCCCGTGCTCATTAGTAATGAGCACTTGTAGTTTGCTTTGGATCTCGATGTCCCTTGTGCGATTTAATCGACATCGCCACCTTGTTCCTTACACTTTATAGTCCCGAGAAGCAGCCAGGAATTAAATTGCCCCAAAAATTGGATATCGGCTCCATCGCCATTATCAGGAAATAGTACAACCTGTTGTGACTCGCGAGGCGTGATTACCAAATCATCTTCACGGACTGGAATGCTCACAGCCTCGAGATAATCCGTGAACATGATATTGTTAATATTAATCTCACTTTTTATCGTTGTGAACGAACGTCGACAAAGAAAGAGCTTGTTAATCTAGCTCTTCTACTCAAATTGCGATTCCAGACACGATCATGCAGATAAGCGGACTGGATCAAAGCTCATTTAAGCAAGGCAAATGATCGTCATAGCCTTATGCGCTTTCGCTTAAGCGTTGATTTCTCAATTGCTGTGGTGCAGTCTCGAAATCACGTTCATTGAGCACAATCTGCATCGCTGCCTTCTATGTTTGGAAGTTCGTACCGCTGAATGTGTTGGTGCAACAGGAAGGAAGGGTACGGTGCAAAGGCAAATTAAAATAAAAGGAAGAGACTGAGGACTTGGGCTTGTTGTCAGATGAATAGACAAATTGAACAGTAGATGACCGAACGAAATATGAGTTAAGAGACTCTTTATACACAAAACAAGTTGCTGCTTCTAAGGTTGTTGCTAAATATCCAGCGTCTACTCATACTATATTCTACTCTTAATATTCTTCTGCGATGTTATTGCTATGGGAAGAATCTAATAGACAAATATCTCGGGTCCTTTCTTATTAGTCTTGTCGAGCTTTTTGACCCGGCAGTAAAGAACATAATCGTTATTCTACGTCCATGAATTGAGTGCCCTCAGAGTTAGGATGATTTCTAATCACCGTGTTCATGATGTCCGTACAGGCGCGGTTCGCACCGAGCCCTATCGCGTGCACCCAGCTTTCGAAGAAACATTACATGCGACGCATGTAATGTACCTATCCGCACTGTTTGGTTGGGTTGCAGATATTGGGGGGTCCATGAGTGCACTGAAGATGATGAAACACGAGATTAAATAAAAATGATCTCTTGGCTGCGGTACCCGCAAATGTTAGACCGGCAAGGATTGTTGTATACTCGCCCTGCGTGTCCTCGCTTGTTTCGATTGACATTTACGGATAGTTTGGTTCCACTCAACAGCCCCCATTTAGAAAGATGTCAAGTCCCAGTAGGCACAAGGCGGTCTACTATGATAGAAGTAAGTTCTATCGTACCTTGTAAATCGTGAGTTCAACGGGAAATATTTACAAGTCTCAAACAGTCATCGGCTTATAATCTAGATTTGTTGGCGGTTGACATCAAAGTACCGGGCTTTGTAAATTTAAACTAACCTTTTGTGGATTTCAGTTGGTCGTACAAGATACGCACACCGTACTACCGTCAATATTAAATATTATCATATAAAGGCACTAAGAATGCCAAGCACGGGGACGTTGTCGACACATCTCGACACGAGTCACTTAGTAAAATGTCGAAGAGGAGACGTCTTGACCAGCCATGAAAAAAATAGTCTGATATCGGTAAGTCAGTAGCCCAAGAATGACCAAAAAAGCTCCAACTCTCAGTGGCAAGCGATATTTAATGATAAAAGTATCATTTTTATACAGTTAGTGTTACCGATACAAAATTATGTAGCCCACACAACATGTGTTTGGGGAACTAGCTCATTACAAAAAATGAGCGTTTTTTTACCTTTTCCACATCCATGATTCATGGTGTTAGATGCACACATGCCTAAGATAAGATCGTATCTCTAATTCAGACTAGAGACGAGACGACTTCCACGCTGTCAAAATCCTCAAAGCTCACAGAAGGCTGAAAAACATCCTCAGCACTTTAATTAGCGTCGATCGCAAAACGCATGGAAACTACTTTCGTACGTGGCCACAACAATACCTATGTGTACTTCTCATTTTTTTCTTCGTGCATTTTAAGTAATTAGCACAACAATCGTGGGCTTCCACAGCTTCACAAAGCTCAGGACGTTACTTTTCATCGCCGAGACTCATGACCTGTGAGCCCTATGTAACTTCAAGACAGATTCTGTTTTCAGAGAAGAGATCCCCCGGCAGAAGTTTTTTTCGACAAGCCTCTTACTTTCAGTGAGAGAGGCGGTAGGAGCAGGATGACAGAGTTTGATATGTTTGCCGATGTCATCATCAAGGCACGCTTGTGAGTGCTCACTTCCAGTAACTCTACCTGCCGTCGCGGCTTTGAATGAAGCTTTGTAGTAAATGCAATATTACCGCTTCTTCGAAAAGAGTAAGGAAGTCTTGGTGCGAGCCGCAAATGTTCGGAGACCCCATGAAGAGGGTAAGTATTGCCGCCTACGGGCGCGGTTCGGCCGCCTCATGGCGAGAAGCGTTCTCAACGACTGGACGTGGTATCTTCGCGCTCGCCAATTTATAAAGGAAGACAAGAAATTGGTGCGCGCTCGGTAGACCTGGTTAAGAAGTGCGAACACTCACAAAATATGTCGCTTCAACACATCACAAATTCGAAATGGCTCTTTTACGGAGGTACTGAAAGTAAGTGCTCGGCTTTTCGGCGTGGAGATCGCTAGTGCGATGCTGTAACGAGATTTCATGTACCCTGGTATGATGGGGTGGGTCACACAAGATGGTGTAACCATACAAGGGTGTGGGTTACACAAGACGGTGTGACTATACCCAAACAAGAAGTCAGTGCGTGGCTGACTGCCAGTGACTATGCATTTTAGTAAGGTTTTACTATGTTAAATTATTAAAACCTATAGATTTAGACATAGGCGGCTTTGCCGCAAATAAAATCGAGAAATACAGCTGACGTTTTGAGCTGAAGAGTTTATTTGCCTTGTTTAAGGTTGTGGCTACTTTGGAAGTAAGCGGATTGCGATCCGCCACACTCGTACTGGTTCTAGGAATAGAACAAAGTTCACCGACCTACGCTTAACTTCCTCTAAGCGAAAGAGCTACGGTAGCCCCGCTGCAAATGCGCTGTCGCTCAATCTCGAGTATGGCGAATTCATGGTCATCTTGACTCATCCAACGGAAATTTTAGGTACACGCCCTAAAACGTCTGAACGCATGACATTATCCGCCTGTAGCTGAAAGCTATCAGTACTCTCACCGACGTCCTGTTTGGGCGCTCCTGGAGCTGTCTCACCAGCGGATTTATATATTTGATGTACATTTCCCCTTTCTGGCCCTTGGGTCGCCACTACTCTGCTTCGCTGGGGGGCAACTATGGAAAAGGATCTCTTGTTGCCCCCGATACAGATAGGTAAACAACTCGAGCACCGAATCTATAGTCGGTTGCCGAATTGACGACATGTGTTTCCAAGTGTGACGCAATTGCCGTTTCCTTTGGCTCAAGAATCGTCGTTCACGAACGAAGAAGATGGGTTTGTGCGTTTTTCCCAGGAGCGGAACCGAGAGCCTCTTAGGTCGAGTTTGCTTTTCTATCTCGAGAGTGACATTAATTTAGGATTAATTCTATGTTTTACTCAATGTATCTCTTGTACTATTTTATATAATGCAAATATGCGCATCGCACCACGTGACCGACGGACCATTCCTAAGTGAAGCTCCATCGAGTAATGTAGTTCGCGTTTACACAATAGTTCAGGACGTGCTAGATAAGATGTTGCAATGGACAGCAGTTTTGTGTTAAATCGAGATTTGAGCACGTCAGTTCACAGCTAGCGTCTGGGTTGCATTTAGTCAGCTGTTTTTCAGATCGTTGATGCATGGGTGCATTATTCTATATGGCGTACATGTAAGGCTACAGAAATTGCTGGTAATTTTATCTTTCGAATAAATTATAGTTTTATAATCTTAGAATTACATACCAAACTATTTATAGTTTCAAGAACATTTTAATAGTCTCCACAATGAGTTTTTCGTACTGACAGAGAAATTGCATGTCAGCACAAGCATTCTACGAGCGTTGAAAAACTCGGCATCGTTTATAGTGTCGCTCTAAATTAAGGGACTGCATGTTGCGATTGCGCACCTTTTATCGCCAACACAGGTACTTTTAAATCTGACAGGTTATAAGCTGTAATAATTACACATGTACAGATTATTATAAATCTGACAGATTATAAGCTGTAATGATTACACATGTATAGATTATAAGCTGTAATAATTACCTTGTACTATTGTTAGCAGCTACCTCCAATTTACACCAAACTCAACGTTATCACCGGTCGCGAGTAGATTGAGCAAAAGAGTATTGCTGTTGCTGGCTGTCTTCATCATTATGGACTAGTGAGATAACGAAATTAATCAAGATATAACATTTTAGATATTCTTCATGTGTCTGCAATTGAGATCTAAGTTTTTTACTCGTGTTCAATCTCAGTCGTTTAAGATTTTAGATCTTTGTTTCCTGGCTATCAGATACCACTCCGTAATCCCTTTATTCTGTTTGTTTCGTTTTTTGGATGTAAGTATGGCGTTATGTTTGTCACCACACTCGCAATCGAACTGAGCTCTTTGGTTGGGTGCTTGAAAATCATATCTAATCTAATATTACGCACAGTTCCATACACCTTCACGAAATAACTTATTACTTCTCTAAAAACGGTGACAGAAAATATAGATATAATAGGCTGAGAATGTTGGCAATTTTGCTCTAGTTTTCAAGTGATATTGATATTCAAGTTCTGGCACTTTGCTGATGACAAATGTTCCAAATTCACAATCTGAGAATCAGTAGGTTTGTGGATGTTGAATCTTTCACTTGTCGGTAAGGATTTTAGCTCGTAATAATTATCTACTTGAATAACCAATGATCATCTTTTTGTTAATTTCTCCAAAGTAAACCTATGTTTTAGTAGGTTTGTGGATGTTGAATCTTTCACTTGTCGGTAAGGATTTTAACTCGTAATAATTATCTACTTGAATAACCAATGATCATACCTTTTGTTAATTTTTCCTAAGTAAACTTATGTTTTATATCAGTAGAAAAAACATTGTGACACCATGTCACAAACTGTTGATGAATATCAGCTCTATTAATTAGAGCCGGATCTTATCAGATTACAGATCTTACTCACTACTATTTACGTTTTTTTTGGTGCTCATCAAAATTAACTTGATGGGTATGTTTTCATACATCCGAGACAAGTTCTGGTAGAGTTTTCGTTTTCAGGCATCGTTAATAATGTATACACTGATTATATACATATTGCTTAGTATGGCAGTATATTTGTCGCACGGAGGACCGAAGAATGAGGCAGTGATTTGATATCTCCATCGCGCTGCACCAAAATTGTGGCTGGGGTGACCTCGTGCTCTACAGTACGCAAAAACCTGCGCGGTTCAGTTAAAAAGTTGACAAATCTCAGTAATTTGCAATCTAAATTGGGCTTGGTTAATGCCTGCAAACAGCATCGTGAGACAGACGAATCGGACAATGGACACGCTTCTCGCAATCTGGTCCGTGTGCCGACACTAATAACTGGCTGTTTGTCATGCATAGTGTCCATTTTGTAAGAGCCGATAGCATTTTGGCTCGACAGGGTCGGAAGATGGCGACTGACGTCACAAAATCGTCGCTTATTCTCCCTATTGAAAACTTCGTGTGTTCATGTAACTCACACAGTTGTCGTGTGTCGTCCAGACGCTGAAAATTTTTTGCAGTCAGGCAGGTCAAGTGTAAGCTCTTTTGTTTTGTGTGTGGCTTTGATATCTGAATTGCTCTGGTCGCAAGCATCAAGACGAAACATGTGCGCAACACCATGAGCAACTACGTGAGCTTACTGTATGTCTAAATTTGACTGCTCAGCCTAAGTAGCATCCTCCGCATTACTGGCGCCAAAGCAGTGTCAATTACATACTAAGGACGTCCCTTACAATGCTACTATTTTCATAAGCTACGATTATACGTAGGGCTCCAGCTGCGACCCTAGAAGTTACTACCGTTGCTAGCGGCTGACATCTGGGTAAACAAATCGGCTGACAACGCTCTTTGCGCCTCACTCAGAAACCCGTCTTTGGCAAAGACAACTTTACGCTATATGTGCTGTTACATAGCCTGTGATAAAGTAATGCGTGGCACGCTATCGCTTCTTGTCGGACCTCAAACCATGACATGCAATAGTCATAAGACAGTGCAAGGTGCTGTTGAGCATATTGTCCGGATCCATCACGAGCGTTGCATAAGCGTCCAGAGAGAATAGACGCTTTGCGCCGCTTCAAATGCACAGGCTTTTTTCTGCTCGAGTTACGTACGCAGTGTATAATTGTGAGGCCGGCACATGTCTCTGGTATCTCTTTTTCTTCTCTCTGGCTAAAGAAAAAATCTGCTAAGAACCACCTCCACCACACCTCAACACGCCACAGTAGCCGCACCACCACCACATCAGCTTTAATACCCTTGTCATGGCGTTTGCCTCCTCCGCGGTCGAGACCTTGCGACCCATGAGGCCCGTGTCACCCGTGACAGCCACAGCTCCGAAGCGTCGCCCCGCAAGTGCCAACCCCAGCTCTGTCAAAGACCGCACTGTAGTCGTATTCGACTGGGACGATACATTGTGTCCTAGCTCTTGGCTACATGCGCAGAATTTACTACCCAAGTACCGTGGCCACAATATTAACATTACATCTGAGCAACGCGAAGTCCTCGCACTTGTGGGCGAACACGTGGCATGTCTGCTACAGAAGGCTGTGGCCTATGGTCCCATATTTATCGTTACTGCAGCCGAGCATGGATGGGTCGAAATGTCAGCTGCACTATACTTACCCTCCGTTCAGAGTGTATTAGCCCTCGACGATGTGCATATTGTATCCGCGCGCAGTTGGTACGAGCAGAATTTTGGTGTTGGTGGAGATTCGGCCACTTGGAAGCAAGAAGTGATGCAACTAATTGCACTTAAGTGCTTTGCATCTCAAAATACAACACGGACATATAGGCAATCTACAACGTACTTTAACTTTGTCTCTATCGGCGACTCAATGGCTGAACGCGATGCGTGTTTCGCCGCTGTGCAGAATGTATGTCACACGTTTGCGAAAACGCTGAAATTTGTCGAACATCCAAATGCAGAAGAAGTGTTGCAACAAGTGAAACTTACGCATGATTCGTTTGAACAAATGTGCCGATGGGAGACGTCCTTGGATCTGCGACTGTCTCGCGAACAGTTAGTTGAACTGCGAGGGGCGGCTTTTTAGGCGAGAGGACCACATCCGCATAGTTTACCGAATTAAAGTTAGGTCTGTCCATTAGGGACGTACATATTTTCTTAGAACTAATATGCACGGCAGGGCTTTTTTATTAGATGAAACAAGGTATCGTAAAAATGTAAAATAGCTTCGTCTCGTCAGCTAATATCGCACTGTGTTTTTGTGCAAGAAATAATGAGTGGAAAGCAAATAGAAGCTTAGCGCGAAAGATTTCGTATGCCAGTAGCAAATTCAAGGTGGAAGTGGGTTCAGTTTTTCCGTAGAGAAATACTACGAAGAATTGCGAAGTTTAACGAGCAAGAAAAATTTGTCACATCTTTTCGATGTCGATACACATTAAGTTACAACGAGTGATCGCTTACAGCAGAAGGATGACCCACGAAGAAACCGCCTCTACGGCACGCACGAATGAAGCAGTGTTACGTTGCTCGCTCATATCGCTCAACTCGAAAAATGTCATTTTTAGATTTCCATGGGCTACAAGAATTCGAGCTGCGGAAGCACTTGAATAAAACCCATTGCCTTGGGCAAAGTCATTATTACCTTGCACATCATCTTCCATGCCCAGGACTTCACTATCCAGCTTTTCCAAACCGAAAAAGATAGTGTGATCACACTTTACTAAAAAAAATCAACTTCGCTGATACAGCATCAGGCAAGTCGTGATCGGAAGGGAAGCAATAAAAGATCGTAATTTATTGCTTTAGTCTAATCGTCAACGTTACCATTTCAAGTTTGACTCACATTTCGGCACAAGTATGCACCGCGCCAATGGTACATTTGCTGTACGACTGCCTTCTTCCAAGCGAAACACCAGAACAACTATTTTTAACATGTCACTCATGACATAAAACTTTGCAGGTACAAAAGTTTACTTTAAATTGATTTCACTCAATTCTATATTGTCTCCCCTGCTGCTATCGCTTTCTGACTCCAACTGAATCGTGACATTTGTCGTCGAACCAGGATCGGTATGAATAAATTGCTTATCAGCATTATCATCTTCAAGGGGAATATACTGGCTTCTCCACCGTTTCACCATCTTAACCATCACAACAATGCCAACGGAAATGTTTGCAAGCACTGATGCCGCCAAAAGCATCATGGTAAAAATACTCATTTCACGCGAGTCGTGCCTTTCCGTTATTCCATCAGATATCACATCGGCAGAATCAGAGTCCTTTAATTTATTCGATTGAGAAATATTGAAGTGATCTTCAAGATTTGCGATGAACTTATAAATCACTGAGAAATTGGGTGTTCCAACCCCGGAGACTGCATCCCAGCCAGCAGCAGCACTAAACGAATCGTTACACGGAGTATGACCCCCACGCGGCGCGGCGTTATTACCGATGATGATATCGTTAAACGCATCGGGATGGGTCTCGGCAAGGTAGTAGAATAGTGGATTTAGAAATCCAAGTGGACTCTTGCCAGCATTCAACCGCAAGTCGTTCCATAGGGTCACCATGGCACCCAGCACTGGGGTGGATGCAGACGTTCCCGACACTGACGCGAGACGACCCTTTAGATAAATGAGAAAGTTTGCACCTAAGGCTGCTACATCCGGATAGGCCCGACCACTAGCGTTGAAAAACCCTGGAGCAGTAGGTATATCCCGTGATTTCAAGTATCTTTCAACAGCAGTGCGCTGGTATTCTGGGAGTGCATAAACATTCGAAAATCCGCCACCAGCAGTGATAATTCCACCCAACTCAGCACTGCATATGACCTCCTCTTTCGTGAGAAAAAACATTTGTGCAACTTCTGGAATGTACGGAAGGATCATCGTAGCGCCAACCGTGGTAATGTATGGACTCGAAGACGGCCACTGTGGTCCACTTTGCTTGCACATGTCCTCCACTGGCTCTTTATGAAGCTCCGGCCGTAATCCAGTGACACCGTCGTCTCCACTCGCAACGAGAACAGTAATTCCACGTAGGCCCATTTTAATAAGCAAAGTATCTAACGTACGAGCGTACCCTGCTGAGACGTCAAAAATAAGTTCTTCATCATCCGAGTAACTAATTGACACAACAAGAGGAGGGTCTTCCATTTCAAGCACATCCTGTACATACTCGACAAATGGCTCATCTTCTGACGAAAATGGATTGCTACCGTTCATGTTCCACACATACGTCTTAGCATTGCGAGCAACACCAGTAATGTACTGCAGATCTAACGATGCTTCAGTGCTTGCCAACTCCGGGCGATTGATTCGAGTTCCCTTTTCGATTATCCTTGGTGAGCCCTCATTCGGCAAGAACTGGGAGAAAAATTTGACCAAGTCAGCAGGATCGTATGCTTCATCATAAAATGATGGCACACTTTGCGAATTACTTGCGTTCGTGACCACGAGGTTGTCTGAGATACCATATCTCTGTCGAATCACTGCCAAAGTACCGCCAGCAACAACGTTTGGAGATGTTGCCATTGACAAGGCGGCCCCACGAGCTCGCAGTCTCAATGGATGTGTATTTACATTTACAAACGAAACAAAATCATGTAGATGCTCCGGTACTGACACATCTGTTGCTGCTCGCATCAGTCTCCGCCGTGCCTGCGCGGGAATAGAATCAGGCTGTGCCTCGTAGTTATAGATATGTGTACGCAGTAGACGCTCAACGTGCTTGACCTTCATAGGAACTTTATACAAATTTGACGTAGCAGAAAAAGTCCCGATGTTGCCATCCAGAGTGTATTTTCCTACCCACCGATGCACAGCATCAAGAGCACCATCAGCTGGCTGCGAAAGCTTATCTACGTGCTCTCGTGTAAGATATTGGCCGTATGCAATGTGCCTGCAGTCTCTCACCGTCAAAAGAGTTCGGACATTTAGTTAAGCTATCAAAGACGTACGTTGGGTCGGACACGCGGTAAAGCTCTTGCTCAAGCTTGCCAAAGTCGGCTGGGATGAGTCCGATAACAAGCGGCATCACTTGCTCTGGATCAGCGCGACTCAATCGTTCATATCGGTCGCTTGAAAAGCCATTAAAATGAGACGGGGAATTGTTCGATCTGACAGTCGTACAGAACGCAAGAAACCACAGCGCCGGCGCCAGGGTGAGCACCATTTGAAGAGAGTGCAGAGGCAAAACCGACAATCGTGAACCTTGCAAAAGGTGATACATTTTACTACAAACAGATAACTGAAGATAGTACATTGCTGATTTGCAAGAAGTGGTACACACACTAGCTGTTGCTAATGGGGGCGAAATACACAGAAGTGAAACACCTTTAAATGGTACACTAAAATGAATCAAGATAGAAGATGATTTTATGCACAAACAGGACTAGTTTTGCAGAAGTTAGTATGACGGTTAGTTACAGCTTAGAAATATTTAATTGCCCGGATAGTTTATACATACGCCTCACTTAATTTTGTACTAGGCCAGGGAAAGTGTATGAAGGAGAAGACTTTGTGCGAAAGAAATTCACTTAAAACAGAAAATTTCATCAAAATAGGCATGCTTCGTGCATTAGTGTTGATCTCGTATACTGTACAGCAGACTGTTCGGCACTCAAGTATCTATCTACCTTGCAACCCACACAATAGTATGATCACACCATCTTGTGTGTCCTACACCCTTAATACCAGGGCTCTTGAAACCCAGTTACAAGGTCGGCCTGCATAGCTGTTAACAGCACAATCGTTATTGACTGGCGCTTACTTGGTGATGATGCCGCGCATCGATGAGACGAGACTAGACAGCGATGTACGGTCCCGCCGCACCATGTGATGCACTGTTATAGTTTAATGAAGCAAAGTGTTCCTGGGATTGATGAGCTATGTCCCTATTACAGTACCTGCCAGCTAAAAAGTAAAAAGAGTGGTGATCGGTTATACCGGTGTTGCTGTAGTTGTCGAGCCGTTTTCGCTACGGTTAGCCTCAAAAAGCTGTTCGTTGATAAGCTTCGCTATCAAGGCGTGCCGATGACCATAATCTCGGATAGAGCTTCGCATTTCAGAGCAAAATTTTGCCAAATTTTTGTTGAGATGCTTGCCATCAGCCCCTTTACTCCTATGCGTCCATGACGCCACCACGAATTGGCTTCGGTTTTGAGTGGATAGCCCCTCAATAGGGTTCGACTTGCTGAAATTATCCCGGCTACACTTTGGAATGTGAACACTTTATATCTACAAGACTGAGCGGGATGCGCCAAGTACGCAAGGCTTTGGCTAAAATCCAGAATGAGCAAATCAACATGCACATCTAGAACACACGAAGTACACATGATTTTGTCGTGGGTAAACAAGCTTTATTATGCGCTGTTCGTCTTCGCGCCTGTGTTCTTTATAAGGTCGATTTGCGACCTCGCTGCATTGAGCCGATTATATTTTTAGCTAGAAAGGAATAAATAACACATTTATATTTGAAGAGGTTGAAAACCATTCCATTCTTACTAATTTTGCACCGTCATTTCGCTCTTACGATCCTGTTTGAATCATAAGGTTGAGGTCAAAGTAATTTCTTAACCATCGTCTGGGGTACGCTAATTGAGTAGAGCTAATTTCTACTCTAAAGTAAGGAAGTGAGCCGCTTGTGATCCCTCAAATCAATTCTCACGACTTGGCTCAGAAGGCACATCAAAAAATGATTCAGGTCAATGTTGACCACATATCGCACAGCGTCGACGCGCCGCAAGGAAGAGAAAGCTCCCGGGATCCAGCTGCAAAACTTATAAGCTTGTCGATCAGATGTTGATGCTTTGAAATTCAGTCGAGAAATGTGATTGATATAAATCTACGCTATTATAGTGATAATAAGCAGTCTATTTTAGAGTGAATGGTACGTGATGTGTATAGTTTTAAGAATGTCGAACGAAATTGATACGTTCATTAATTCAGATCAACTCATAATCTGAGCAGAGCGGTGGGGCAAGTCATCATCCGAAGAAAAGAGCTTGAAGCCAAACTTTGAAAAGATTATGCGGGTGTCGTTGCTCTAACAACACAACGTCCCCTGTCTTTATCTCCCCTGAAGAAAAAAATTGGTCGTCCAAGCAACGCTTTTCCTATGGCGAGTGGGACTCCGCCTTGTTTCAAATCGGCGACTTGCTCGTAACTGTACCGGCAAGTTAGCTATCGATATCACAGATAAGAAGCGATAACAAGGTTTGTCTCGACGTCAACATCCTGCAAGTGTCAAGAGACATCTGGTAGATGTCTGCTACATTGAAAAATACTTGTTGACGCACACATCAGTCACAGCGACATTCAGCATTGCCTCTCACAGATATATCCTGTCGTGATATGGCTCTACAAGCTTGTCGAGCTTATTGAGATCGGTCCGCTTTAACACCTTTTTGAGGGGTGTCTTCTCGCTCCTCGCTTCGAGGAAAAAGCACGGTGCGTCAAGCTCATATGATAATGAGCGAGTGAATGTTGTGGAGGCTTAAACCCGATAGAGGCCTTGATCAGTCATCAATCAAAAATTTGTTTAGTTTTGTGAAGAAGAAGCAGGTGGTGTGTTGGGCTCGATGTATCACTAAAGAGAGCGCTTTGCCAACAAGACTAGCATAACGTCGGTTGCAAGACTGCACCATTCTAGGCGGCTTGTCAAGCAACGTGCTCGAATATGCAGCAGGTAGAGGAACATCCGGCACGGGCGAATTTGACACTAGGTTTGAGATTAGGGCCGACTAAATCTCGTAGTACGATGATCGCTTTCTAGTTCACACTGGGATTTGGTCATATAACGCTCTGGAACAATGATTGACTACTACCAGATTGAATTGCGACCTAATATTTGATGCCTAGAATAATTTGTGCCCTTGATAAATTGTGACAAAAATGGTCTATTTACGCTACGACGTGTGACCCGGAATGTCTGTGACACGTGGTCCATTTTGGTAATGGTGGCTGTAGCAAAATATGTTTTTTATTACGAACGTACACTTTCTCATATTGAACCTCGGAATTTAAGCAAAGCTCAATGGTACCAACCTTGTTTAGTAGAAGGAAAAAACCGAAGTGAATATATTTAGGTCCTTAGTTCGCTACTCTGTGCTACCTCTAAGCCTGTCTTTCTAGATTCTTCTAGAAGATTCTATAAGCATCCTGATTTAACTAGACCAATGAATGCCAATCATTATGTAATTACTTACTGTGGCGTGCTCATAAATATGGTGACGTCATCTGCCTGTTCAACATGCATTCAGCGGTACAATCTCAACACTCCCACTCACCGCTAATGCTGCGTGTGCTTTGTCGCTGACTTGACCTTGATTCCGGAGGCTTCGCGCAGATAATTTAGCATCTCGGTACCAAGTGCCTTCGTCAGCATATCCGCTAGCTGAATCTTCGTATCACTATAGTCGATCTTCAACGGTCCTCCTTGCACGTTCTCGCGAATGAAGTGGTGCTTGATGTCCACATGCTACGTCCCAGCGTGGTATCCGGCATTATTAGCTAACGCACCTTGGTTATATTCCCAAACCTGTGTTCCTTCAACTTGCTCGCGTCTCATGTCTCTTAGCATTGCCCACGTCCAAAGAACTTCCTGCCTGCAAGGGCTGAGAGCCATATTCTCAGCTCCCGCTGAACTTAGCGCAACCGTTCGCTGAGATTTCGACTTGGATACCACTGGTGCGCTCGCAATCATGACCATAACTCCTGAAACCGAACGTCTGTCATCGGTGTTGCTGCCCCAATCTGCATCCGAGTATGTCTTAACCACAACGCTCCCACGTCCTCGGTTAACGATCCTGATTTGACTCGTAGTCTTCAGGTACCTTACCACTCGAATTGCTGCGCTTCAATGTTGTAGTCCCAGGTTCTTCGTAAATCGTGATAGCTGTGTTACCACGTACGCAATATCCGGTCGAGTACATGTCGTTATGTACAGCAAGCATCCAACCAAAGAGCGATAAGGCTTGGATCGCATTGCCGACCATTCCTCTTCCGTTGTTGGCGACTGCTTTAATGACAGCTTCAACCCTGATGCGCATGGGTTATCCGCGCTCTTGGCATCTTGTTGACCGAATCTCTTGACCACGTCGCCGATGTATCGAGTCTGCTTGATCATAAAAGTTCCAGCTGACCTGTCGTCATCGATTTCCAACTCCTTCATCTTAAAAGCATCCTTGAGTACGTCCTTGACTTGATTTAGTTCTTCGCTGGTTCTTGCTACGATAATCATGTCATCCACATATAGTCCAACACAGACAAACCCTTTATTCA